TCTTTGTTTTACCAAAGTAAGTGGTGAAGGAGATTGAACAACTTTGTAGCAACTTCTTGTGGGGAGTGGGTGAAGGAGGAAGGAAAAAAAGCAGTTGTAGCTTGGGGGAAAATTACCTATCCCAAGAAGGAATGAGGATTGGGTTTAAGGGTTTTGCATAGTTGGAACCAGGCCTGTATAATTCGACACATTTGGTTAATAATTTCGAAACAGGCTCCCTGTGGGTTGCTTGGATCACAAGTATAAATTGAAAAACCGGAATTTCTGGATTGATACTAGCAAGAGTGGTTTAACCATTTGATGGAGGAGCAGAATGGGAAGGTGTTGTGGAATGGTGGTGTTATGGAAAGGTACAGTGTTAAATTGGTCTTGGACTATTTCAGACCTAAAAAACAAGTGGTAGACTGGTTCTCTTTGGTGAGGAAGCAGTCTCCTTCTCTTTCCCGCAACCAATTTCTTGTCTACTTGGTCATTAAGGATCTTATTAATACTTGATGAACCTTAAACTGGTCTCAATGGAATCAGAATTACACAACCAGACTGAATCAATCAAGAGATTGTTCAAGAACGAACAAAATTCAAAACAAGCTTGGATGAACTAGTTTGGAACTCAAATTTTATGGTAACAAAAGGGTAAACTCACACCAGGGAGAATACAAAATTATTATAGTGAAGCTTTCGATTCAATTGAGTGGGTTTGCTCGATTGATAAACAAGGTTCATCAAGTTTTGGAACTCTTCCAAAACCCATTCAACTCACAAACTCAAAGCTTGAGAATTAGGGCAGCAATCACTATTATTCGTTCTGCCTTGTACCTTACACAAAGCAAGCATTTTATAGGCCTAAACAAAATCAAACAAACTAAAACACAACTTGAAATAAATCTAATTTAACAAGGAAAATAATTCTACTCCTAATCTGAACCCAACAAGGATTCTGCCAAACAAACAGTTCTAACTAGCAACTTTGGGATGTCTTGAGCATGGATCAAATGAACTCCAAATCTTCAGCCAATTCCTTTAGATTGTAGATTGAAACATGTAATTTCATGTGGCATAACTCTATGACCTTGATTCTCCTCTATCTGGTTCGAATTAAGCTCTCAAGATAGCTTCTCAGTCATGGTTCCTGCCTTAGTAATTTTCAGGCAGTTTCTCGGTTTCAACTGGGAACTTTGGCAAGCTTCGCACACGACCTTACAAGCTTTCCCTTCATCATCCAAGCATTCCCATTTGTAGAAGAACTCTCCACAATTCAAAACAAGCCCTTAAACTCGAAATTTCACCGAGCCAACTGAGAGAACCAAGCCTCCCAAGTTGGCGACTTGAACCACAGAAAACACTTGGCCAATATTCAAATCACTTCTTACCAATTGAACTTGTTTCTTAATCAATCCATGGAAGCTTGTAATGCAAGCAATTTGGGATCATATCAGGGGCCCCTGTTGAAAAAGCTTTTCCCTCAAAGCTTGAGCCTTCTGCATCTCAAAAGCGTCACAAAATTGATCCAAAATTGGATCCAATATAGGCTAGTCGAACAAACTGTTCTAGAAAATTAAGGTATTGCTGTTCATTGAACAAATTTGGGCTTTCTTCCTCAGGGGTTTCCAGCTCAGTTCAACACTTTCTCGCGTTGGTGAAAGAGTTGTTTGCTGTAGCCATTTAGGCACGTTGAGAAAGAAGGGTTTAAAAAGTTTATGCAACGTGCTTGTCCTATGTTCAAGATTCCTTGCCGAAAAACAATTAGAGAAGATGCTTTTAGATTGTTTCTTGCACAAAAGGATCAGTTGAAGGATTATTTCAAAATAAAGTATGGAGGTAAGGTGTCCATAACTACTGATAGTTGGACATCTTGTCAGAACTTGAACTACATGTGCATTACATCACACTTTGTTGGGAAAGATTGGAAGCTATACAAGAAGGTGATTAGTTTTTGCAAGTTAACTAGTCACAAGGGAATTGACATAGGTAATGCAATTGCCTATTGCTTAGAAGAATGGGGTGTGAAGAGTGTTTATACTGTCACTGTTGACAATGCAAGTTCTAATGACACAGCAATCTTGCAATTGAGGGATAGACTTGAAGAATGGGGTACTAACATTGTAGGTGGAAAGTACCTTCATATGCGTTGCATTGCACATATAGTGAACTTGATTGTCAGTGATGGCTTGAATGAGATGGGGATGTCGATTAGAAGGGTGAGAGAAGCTGTGAGGTGGGTTAGATCCTCACCTTCTAGATTGGCTAAGTTCAAGGATTGTGTGGACTTTCACAACATTCAATCCAAAAAATTGTTGTGTTTAGATGTGCCCACAAGATGGAATTCCACCTATTTTATGCTTGAAGCAGCTGTGATATTTGAAGATGCTTTCTCTAGTCTTGAGAGAAAAGATAGAGAGTACAAACCTGAGTTGAAGTCGAAGAAGTACAAGAATCAAGAGATTGGTATTCCTCAGCATGAAGATTGGAAGAATGCTAGAGTATTGATTAAATATCTGAAGTTCTTTCATGATTTGACACTGCTAGCATCCACTACTTCAGTTGTGACGGCTCATTGATTCTTGCAACAATTTGGGAAGGTATTTTATCACATTGACAAGATGCTCAATAGCAAGGATGATGATATAGTGAGGATGGGGATGAAGATGAAAGCAAAAGTCGATAAATATTGGTGTGAGAAAGGGGGTTTGAATTTGAGAATGAATAGAATGGTGTATGTTGCTGTGGTTCTTGATCCAAGGCATAAGATGAATTATCCGGAACATATTTGGAAGAAGATTTGTGGAGAGAGTAGGGCAAGTGAGTTGGTGAAAGAGTTGACAAGTGAGTTGGAGAAGTTGTTTGAATATTACCAAGCTAGGATGCCTATTCCCCCACCCTCTTTTCCAAAGGTGGCCGTTGTTAATTTGCCTACTTCACAGAGGGAGAGTAAGAGTAGTGATGATGATGACTCGGATGATGATGACATTGACACTGATGAAGATTATAGGCGACCTCAACTTGGGGAAACTAAAACCGAGTTAGATAAGTATCTTGCTCACCCACGTGAAGATGATGATGGTGCTCCGGAGAAGTTTGATGTGTTGAATTGGTGGAAAGTGAATGCTATGAGATATCCTATCTTGACTGAAATGGCTAAGGATGTGTTTGCCATTCCCATGTCTACCGTGCCTTCCGAGTCCGCTTTTAGCACTAGTGGACGGGTTCTAGATAGTTTTAGGAGCTCTTTGCATCCCAAAATTGTGGAAGCACTCATTTGTAGTCAAGATTGGCTTAGATCAAGCTCTTGTGAGTTCAACTCTAATGGTGTTGATGATGATGACTATGAGGATGAAGATGCCTTTGTGAATGGTAAGTGATACACTATATTTTATGATGGTTGTTTTTATCAATTTGATATGTGAATGTTAAGTTGTTAATTATTAATTTGTTATTGTTGTGACTTGTGGATTAGTTTACAATACCATTGTGGTGGAGGAAGAAGAGAGGTAAGCACGTGAGCATTCCAAATCTCGCGGGAGTGGAATTGAAGTTACAAGTACGAGCAAGATTGGGGATGGTAGGGTGATTGGATCGAAAGATGGACATGCAAGTGAGGCAAGTCGTGGTGCAACCAACTCTTCCTTTGTTTCCATTGAAGAGTAGAAATGATTGGTTGGCGAGTTGAAGTGGAGTTTGTTGGATTTATGTTATATTTATTTATGCATTATGGATTTAAAGACTTTGGTTGTGTAATGAACTTTATTTAGACTTTGTGTTTGTGTGTGTGAGACTATTATAATTAATGTTGGAATGTTTTGTCTTAGTTTTATTGAAATTTGGTACAAATTGAAAGAAACAGGGGCTGCTGGTCACTTAAATTACAGGGGAGGTGCTGCCCGGTTGGTCAACCAGCCGGTCGTTTGGTGGGGTTTCCGGTCAAAACGGTTTTTCGGTCAAAACCGGACCAAACCGTATCTCATCCAATCCGGTTTGGTTTAAACCGTGTCCCAGTCCAATCCCGTCCACGGTTGGGCATAAATCCAATCCGGTCATAAAAAATTGGGTCAATCCGGTCCGGTTTAAACCGAACCGGACTTTTCCCCGGCCCTAGCTACTATAAGGGGGAAAGAAGAAATGTCGTTACTGAGAATCAACCACACAACCTCATAAAAATACTAGCTAGGCTAGCCCTCATTCGCATTTCCAGCTTTCTTCTTGAGGTAGTTTTAGTTGCAACTTTCTTCTTATTGAGGCAGAGAGAAAGACTGAAAGAATAAAAGACAATCATGGAAGAGGATCAGCCAAAACGCATGAAGAAAAGAGTCATTTTCTCCTCATCACATCATCTTATTCTTAGTAAGAGAAACAAACCGCAATGGAAGGGACCACCCAGAAACAAACTCTCATATATATACTCCTAAATATTCGCTTAATGAACAATCACAAGAAAACCACCACTTTTATTTACCAACAAAGTTATAGAGTACAAAACAAGGTTGTCAACCCGCGGGTTGACCCACGGGTCGACCCAATTTGACCCTGACCCGGTGAGAAAAACGGGTCGCACGCACCCGCCGGGCCGACCGCTATAAGGTACCGGGTTGGAGGTCAAATTGTGTCATTTTTTCTTTAGTTTGCGAAATGCGCCTATTTTCCAATTTTTCTTTTCGCCTAACTCAATCTTTGGAATACTAAGTTGAACATTTGAACATTTATGTTATATAAGTGTGTGTGAATTTTCACTATATGTTGGATCTAAGTACGATATGTTATTTTGGTGTAATATTATATGTTATAACTCATATGTTAGATAAGATTTGATATAATTTATGAGAATAAGTACAATATAATGACTCTTTCTATATTTCCGGGCCAAACCGGGCTAAAACGGTTGACCCATTAACCCTTGACCCACTAGCTCGACCGGGTCCGGGTCAACCCGCGGGTTGACAACCTTGGTACAAAATGATGTTGTGTGCAAAACCCCACCAAACCAGCAACACTCAGAGAGTGCTGTACTGTTTTTATTCCTTAAAATAACCTTCCATCCATCAAAACCCATTTAATTATTGGAAGCTGCTACTGCCAGAGAATTAACTTGGCTACTGATTCGGCTGTCCTCCTCAGAAGGAAGCCCTCCTTCAACCACATTTTTGTTGAAGGTGAAAGGGCAGAAAGAAGAAGGGAAGCCAGCAGTAGCGAGGAAAAACATCATCAACTGGGTAAAAATGATGAAGGCAGGCTGCAGTGGTGGGTTTGGAAGATTCTGCAAAAAGTTCAGGCCACACCTGCTCATGGTCCTGACACAGATTCTCTATGCTTTCCTGTATTTCATCACTGAAGCTTCCTTCAACCATGGCATGAACCCTTATGTCTACATTACGTATCGTCACGTTGTGTCTGCTGTGGTCATGTTCCCCTTTGCCTATTTCCTTGAAAGGTACAGACTGGCTAGTTGGTTTTTAAAACTTTAGTTCGATCGTTCGTTTGTGTTTTCCTCTCTACATTTGCTGATGATCATGTGGGTGTCCTGCAGAGAACAGAGGCCCAAACTGACCCTTGCCCTTTTCCTGGAGATCTTCCTTCTGTCTCTATTGGGGTAAGTCCTCTCCAAAAGAAACTTAGGCATTACAGAAGTTAAACCAGGATTATAACCTCAAAAATTTGTTGATGGCAGGGTGGGTTTGGGCTTGAACATGTACTTTGCTAGCCTGAAATACATATCTCCAACTTTCGTTGCTTCAGTGGTGAACACCATAGCTTCTATCACATTTGTTATTGCGGTTGTGCTAAGGTTAGCTTTTCTGTTTTTTTCCATAACAGATGAGGCCTATTATAATGCTGCCTTTTTTTTTCCTTCCTTTTCTTCCTTCTCTCCAATCTGTTCAAAATTTTCAACTTCCCTTTCGATTTATCAGGTTGGAGTCGCTTGATCTTCGAAACCCTCGAGGAATTGCCAAAATTCTAGGCACCTTAGTTTCACTGTCTGGTGTAATGACCATGACATTGTACCGAGGACCCATCGTCGAACAACTCTGGAATCCTCTGGTTCGGATACAGGGGAAAGCGAGCAGCAATCACGAGAGCTGGCTCAAGGGTTCGATTCTCTCGGTGGCGAGCTGCGTCCCAAGGTCGTGTTGGTACATTATGCAGGTTTTCTAAACTAGCCTAGCTCAAGCAAGTGTGCATTTTACCCAAATAAGAGATCACAACTGAATCCAAGTTGTTTCCTTATTTTTTTTTCAACCCCAATTTGGAAATTGCAGGCATTAACACTCAAGAGATATCCTGCTCAGTTGTCCCTCACAGCTTGGATGAGCGCGATCGGGGCGGTGCAATCAGCAGCCTTCACGGTCATTGTAGAGCATAACAAGGCTGCTTGGACGATCGGTTTCAATGTCGATTTATGGTCTACCATATATGGTGTAAGCAGAGTTATTTATCACAAACACCAACTTTCAGAACTTTTGAAAGGAATTCCGATTGATGAACTTGTTGTTGTTGTTGTTGTTGTTGTTGTTGATGCAGGGAGTGGTAATCTCAGGAATAGTGGTGTTCATTCAGCTGTGGTGCACAGAAGAGAAAGGTCCCGTCTTTGTTACCTCCTTCAACCCTCTAGCAACGATTCTGGTGGCTGTTCTGGCTTACTTCATAATGGGAGAGAAGCTCTACCTGGGAAGGTTGGTAATTTGGTTTCTCAAATGCATTATTATTATGTCTCTGTGTGTTACGTTATTGACTTATTATGTTCTTGACGGTTCATTTGGGGCATGTTTCAGCATAATAGGTGCCGTGGTTGTGATTGTGGGCTTGTATTTGCTGCTGTGGGGGAAAGAAGGCGATCAGAAAGCTCAGAGCAAAGCACAAAGTATTTCAGCTTATAGTGAGCACGAGGAAGGGAGTACAGAGAGAATAACTTCTGGTGAATCTAAGGTGTCCAGTGGGAATGCTTAAGGTTTCATCATAATTTGAATTTTAAAAATAAATTTTTATGTACCTTGAGAGCTAACCATTTGAGTGGCAGGATTTTGAAATTTTACAACGAAGAAAAGAGTTGGAAGAAGTAATTGTATCATCCCTATTATATCATCGCCCTATAGAGTCCTTCATCCCACAAACTAAATTCAATGGTTTTGTATATATCCATCTGAGCCGTCGTGTCAACAGGCACCAAATGCTTGAGTAAGCACTCTCTTCTTGATGTTTTATCGAGAAATACGACTCTACATAGTGCATGAAGCTATTAACAATCTTATCAATACACACAATATCAATTTACAGATATCCTACTAAACAATGCCCGCAAAACTCAAAATCAAATTATCCAAATATTTAATCATGACCTAGATTCTACAATGTTCTTTGTACGTATAATACTTGCATTTGTACTCAATAACTCCGTGTGTATACATATGATTTCTTTGTCCTATTTATTTACACTTCAAATTTCATTCTTGTAATTCACAAAAGAATCCATCTACCTAGCATAGTCAAAGACCAAAGCTAACCATAAAAATAAAAAAAAAAGAACCAAGATCAAAGCTAAACAAACATCCAAAGCATAAAACTATTATAAAATCGAGAATATATAGAACCTAATTAGGCTTACTGGAAATGGATGGGAGAAGGATTGATTTTAAATATGGAGTTCTTGAAGGGTTTACATTTAAATGAATGAACTAAATGGACCAAATAATATACTAAGAACGACAAATAGACTCCAACGGATGTTCATTAATATTAGTTTGTGATAGTTTGGGTACCAATGTATAATTGTCTTGTAAATTGTGTAGTTAGGGTTTAAAGGAAAACCTATACATTGTATCATGTATTATCGTTGAAGGTAACAAATAAGAAGATTAAAACCTGAGAGGGAGGTCCCCTCCTTGGACCAGTGTCATATTGATGATACCACGTTAAAATTTTTTGGTGTTCTTCTCTTATACTTAGATTATTTGACATGGTACCAGAACCTACGATCTGAGATTTCTTAATCGTATTTCGTCAGGTAATTGTCTGACTACCATTCATTTTGCCGACTGGGTCTTTTCGTCGATCTTCTATCCCGGTGTTGCTTCTGGTTTTCTGGTCCGCAGCTGGCTCCGTGGCTTTTTTCGCTGCTCTTGTGTCATTGTCGGTCACCTATCTTGGTCGCGCATCTGTCTTTGGTCGCGTCGCAAATTGGGCGCTCACGCATTTTTTTTCTTGTCCCGCCCAAAGCAGTTAAAATCGGGATTTTACCTAAAATCGAAAACTGGGTTAAAATCGGAATCGTAAAATCGAATAGTAGAATCGTAGGATTTTAAGTACCATATAGAAATTAACATATAACAATATTAATAAGATAAATAATTAATAACACAAAGACTTATAACATTTAAAGTGATAATTTTCAAGATTAATATTCCAAAATCATCATTTTAATTGTTATTTAATGCGTAACTCAAAATAATTTATGAGGAAGGGATAGAGCTCATGGGGTTTGGCTCTTGTTTTTCATGTTGTGTCTAGGTAGTTTAACTCAAAGTAGTGTTCCGACATCGTCTACTAAGCATGATTTTAAACTAAGAATATTTGAAATCCAATAAAATAATTAATGTCATTGGTTTGATACAAATATATTCATTAATTAAATAATTTGTTAATAATGATGTTAATTCTTACGCACTTACAATATTCTGACAATTGTTTTACCGATGAGTTAAACAAGGAGAAGGGAAAGGGGTTGGCCGAACCCTAATTAGTTTTTCTTCTTCTTTTCAAATGTTCTTTTAATAGGAAAAATATATGAGAAGATCCTAGTCATTGTCCTTTCAACCGAATTAGTTCTGCTTCATTTGAATTGGCTCAAGCTCCCTATTTAGTTCACATAGGATCAAAATCCTGATTTTGGTACGATTCTACGATTTTAATGATTTTGATCTTGATTTTGAACGATTTTAAGGTCCACCGATTCAACAGTAACTAAATATGCATATCTATTAAGTTTAGGTATCAAACTGTAATTTGTATTTGGGCATGGATACAAACCCAAATCCATTTGTTATAAACCCAACCCAACCCAAAGTAAATGGGTATTGGTACAAACCCATCAAACTTTACCCATATCCATATATTTGGATTTCATACCCAACCCAATTGGGTTGGATAGTAAAATACCCATGGGTATGGGCAAAATTGCCATCCCTACTTATTACCATCCCTAATTGTGTTGAAGGTTTAATGCCTATAACAGAACATGAAATCGAAATATGTATATGGTTTCACTAATTAAATTGGTGTTTGTTTAAATGTATTGTTATCCTGCGTCTTTGGTAGTTTGTTTGGGTCGATCTATTTCTTTGACTGTATTTGGGATTGTGATGCTCAAATTGTTTCGGTGGTGTAGTGGTTTATATCTTGGTTCGGGAAGTTGAATGAACTATCATGTGTTTGACAAACTTTATTTTGAGTGTCATCCTTGAACTATATGATGGTTTTGTATCTCCTATGGAATATGATGCTGAATCACTGTTGAGGCTGTGCATGTGTTATTCCTAATGTTTTGCAACAAGTAATCGTATGTTTGAGACACGTCGTGGTTTATCTAATAAAAATATAAATAAATGTGTAGAAGATCTTCCATTTTGTCATTATAATAATCTTGAGCTATCCTCATGAGTTAAATGAAACTTTTAGGGCTACAATTATTTTTGGACAAAGAAATTAGTTACTAATCAATTGTCATTTGTACTTTCTTAATTATAATAATTTTAGATGATTTATTACCACAAAGTTTGAACCTATCATGTGATTAATTTTTTCCTTCCAGATTACCATTAGGTCATCCTTTTGATTTCTAATTGTTACTTTAGTGAATAAATATTTTAGTTTTGTTAGAACAAAATATAAATGCAAGTTAATAATTCTAAATCTTATGAAGAAATATTTTTGTTGATGTGACTCGAATCGGACTATCAGCTGCTACGACTGGTAGCGAGTGGGGTCTAGGGGCAACGCCCTCGACCCGCGGTGTATGGGCTCAATGTTATTTGGGTTCGGGTTCCTGGCCTGGTCTGTAACCGTTTCCTTTGCCATATTGGATTAGGTTTAGACCCACATGGAGAAGTACTATAAATACTTGTCATACTCTTCTGTAATCTGTAATCTCCTCGATATAGTGAAACTGGCTCTCTCTCGCCTGTGGACTAGCTAACACACATCGTGTTAGTGAACCACGTAAATCGTGTGTCTGTGTTTTTTTATTATCTCTTTCATATTCTTACTTTATCGATTCCGGCGATTTCCCGCTCCGTAGCAGCGTTTATAACAATTTTCCAATAATTTATGCTGACAATAAAAAGTGAAAAAATTTCTTCAAAAATATTAAAAACAAATGCAACATATGAAATACTTGCATAAAAGTGTTCGACAACAAACTCTCATTGCGAGTAGTGTCTCCACTGGCAATTTATAAATTACTAATATGCTCCTATGCAAATTTTTCACTTCCATCATACCACCGAAACCAGCTAAGGTATGAGCAAGGCGAGATTCAGAAAGATGAGTGACATATTACCTTTTTAAACATCATAGTTTGAGTACCTAATCAACAAAAATATCTATGAATTAACTACCGCTAATGACACAAACAACTATAACACAAAATAACTTTCAAATCATTTATAAACTATTTCGACAATCCTTAATCATTGCAAAGCATCGATCATTTAACATTAATAAAAAAAATAAAAGCCATCCGATCAATGGATCGGGTAAAAGCTAGTTTATAGTAAAATCAGGATCGGAATCCCTAAGTAAAATCCTAAAATCCTACGATTTTACGATCAAAATCCCGATTTTGATTGCATTGGTCCCGCCCAGCCCTGGTCGGGCTCCTCATCAGGTCGACCCTCTTCTTTTTCTTTCACTTATTGAATTCGATCAATGGATCCAAGCAAGTTGGAGGGTTCTTCTACTAAGTTCGACGACAAGAATTTTCCGTTATTAGATTTTCAATTTCTTAATTTTTTGGAAGGGAAGCGGCTGCTTCCGATTTTGAATGGTCAGTCTCCGCTTCCCGCTGCTGGTTCTGCGGAAAGGATGTTGATGACTGGGCCGCAGGGAATGCTCAGGTTGTGACCTGGATTTTGCCATCGGCGACACTGCTACGGCTCTTAGCCTTCGTCGTTTTACTTATGCTAGTGCTATGTAGAAGCATAACTGTTCCACCTACACTCTGAATGATGTTGCTCGTCAGTTTGAACTTGAGACTCAGATTGCCGCTTTTAAACATGGTGATATGGATGTTCGCACTTCTTATCAGGCTATCTCCACTCTTTGGACGGAAATGATCTTCTTGCTGCTACTCTAGTCTCGCTGCTGCTTCTGCTGAGATATTGAAGGAACGTTCCCGTTCCCGACTCATGGAGTTCCTCATCAAGCATCGCAATGATTATTAGCCGATTCAAGCTTCTTTGTTACATCACCAGGTCGGCACTATTGATGAAGTACTCGCTGAGCTTATTCGCGAAGAAACCCGCCTGCGCAGCCAGCAACAACTTGATCAACCTCTTTCCTCCACTGATTCTGCATTTGCTGTTGGTCATGGCGGGTCTGGCAAGCCTCATTTTCAGCGGGGTGATACTAGTCATCTCACCTGTCATTATTGTCAGGAGGTAGGACATATTCAGCCTCACCGCAAGAAGCGGAATGCCTGTATTTACTGCAAGCGTTCATGCTATATTATCTTAGAGTGCAGGTCTTTAGTATGTCAAAATCGTGGAGGGTCTTTATCTGTTGGTAACTCCCGCACTGATCCCATCTCTGACCGTGGTGGATGACCTGGTTATGCGGTAGAGGCAACTTCTCCGTGACCCGCTTCTTCTTCCAGCGGCTCGTCTGCCTCTTTCCCACTCACGACGGATACAGTTCGTCGTTTAGGGGTCGAAGCTCTTCAGGAGACTCTTCTTGGGACATTAACATCTGCATTCGCAACCTGTGGCTCCTCAGGTACTTCTCGTTGGTAGCTTGATTCAGCCGCATTTAATCACATGACTAATGTCCGCTCTCGATTATTTCTCTGCACCCGTCGCCTGTAGAATCTTTGCAAGTTGCTAATAGGGCTCGTGTTCCAGTTCATGGTATTGGTACTACAGACACTGGTCATGTGAAACTTGTTAACATCTTATATGTTGACACGCTAAAACACAACACCAAACTGCGACCAAGTGTAATCGCAGTCCGGGAATGCA